CTGGTTGGCTTATCCCATATGTTTACCATAAACCAAACCAAACTCAATCCTCATACCTTAACTCAACCAACCCAACCAATACACAACTAGCCAAACAGAAGCAGTAGTCATTCAGTCAAATTGGGAAGGTGTGCTGACATGATTCTGCTGAATGATTAGCCGTGTGCTTCTGTATTTTGCAGCAAACATAACATTATAATAAAATATAATATTACAATAATAGATAAAAGGCACACATAAGAATAGATAAAAAGGCATACACAAATGGGTCCACAGGGACAATTTCGGGACTATTGGGGTTCGGAATAATGGGCCGTCTTAACCTGTTAAGCCCCAAGCCTGTTTTTCAGGTCTCAAAAATGACATTCCCAGAACAAATGACCATATCTTCCCTTCTAAAAGGGGAAAATTAATAATCTTTTTTCTCAAAGTAATGATAAACCTGTGAGTTGGATGTAGAAAAGTCAGAATCAATACAGATGTTTTTATTTATAAAGAAAATTTCAGAATTTTTCATTAAAAAAACTGTAAATTATAGTGTCCGTCCAAAAATTCTTTTTTACTTATAGTGAAAACTACCCTTGGATGATGGGTTAGTAGACTAAAAGCTTTAGGAATCCAAAGTACAACAGCCGCATTTTTTCTCGTTTTAATGCCATTGAACACGACTTTTGATCAGAATAACAGCTAAGGTGAGCATATCTCCGTGTTTTGCTAACTAAAGCTACGCCGTGTGTTGTCTGTATTTGCTTCCCCTGTCACAAGTTCAGATCTCTCAGTGATAATACTTATATTTCTATAATCTGTGGAATCTCAGGATGTTAGCTAAGCTTGTTTGTGCAGATCCAATAAGTATATCGATCGGTATAGCTAGAGTTCTGTGCTAACGGCCTTAATATTTTGTTGCCCGTGGCTAATTCAGAGGCTCAGCGTTAGCTTTGAGGTTTTTTGTGAGAAAAAAAAAAAAAAAAAAGATCAGTTAGCTGAGTTTCTTCCCGTTACATAGATATGAAACATTCATAGTTTATTAAATCTTAAGAAGCCCTCAGACACTTTTGCTTGCAGATGTTGTGATTTCGGCCCCTTCGGCGGGTCCATGGGGCTTAACAATGAGCAGTCCATGGAAATCCCCTGACTTTTACTTTGGTGATGCCCTGAGGTTGACTTGTGGTTTAAAATAAAATGTCTTGAAAGTGTATTAACTTTTCGTTTCCTTTATGATGGGTGATTTCCGCAGCTACCATGCATATTAGAGCCTTCCTCTTTCATGGTAAATGGAACTGAAAATGAGTAAGTGGAAAAATAGCTTCAGAAAGTCCTCCACACTCTCCAGGATGATGACATATGTTATTCCCTTCACAGCACACAGAAGTGGAATGAACTTCGGTTTGTTTGATATGTGCAGCAGATAAGCTGGCAACACCTGACTCTAAATTACATTCAAACTCAAACCGCTCTTGAATTACAACTGCTGCCTATTCCCACATTTTATTCTGGAAATGTTGGAGATGAATCTTGGCCAGCTTTGGCTTCAGAGGAGGAAGTAATTTAGGGAAGGAATGTAGCAGGGTGTGACGGTGTCTATGTCTATCTGTCCAACTGAATTGCTTTTTAAGATTTATAGTTAACAATGGGAGAATGAGAGTTATCATTTGTCAGTTCTTACAAGATGAACGCCACATTTTCACAGCCTTCTCCCCTTCTTTACACTCAGTCACCACCGTTACAGTTCTTCTATCTGGTTTGTGTCACGCACCACATGGCTTAAGAGGCCTCTCATTTATCATCAGCCTTATCGCTTATAAGTCTGCCTGGTCTGCATCTCATACCAAATACAGAGAAAAGGTACAGTATCTAAATTGCAGCGAGAGTAAAATGAGCCGTAGGGCCTTTGGGGGAAATGATAGTAAGTCAGTACGTCCCAATTTGCCTAATATGCTCCATCTTTTGTTTGGCAGGCTTTGTCGCATTGTTAAGCATGGAGCCAAAAAAAAGGTTGGAGGTCTGTGTGTTTGGAATGCACTTTACGGGAGTTTTAGCCGGCCTTGGCTAACTTTATGTGTCCGCCAGATACTAAGACTCTTTCAACTGTCAACTAGATTTATATTGATGGTGCGTTACCAGCGGTAAGGGCATAAAAACCAAGACAAACAAAGCGGTCATGGAACAAATGACACATGGGACACAATTTGACTTGACTGTGTCTTCATTTAACATATCTGATTGATGTGGGGTTGGTTTACTTTAGCAGTTTACTGCTGGAATCAGATCCATAATGCTTACATTGAACAGGTTTGTGACTGTTTCTGTTAAGGTCTCATCCAGCAGTGGAGATAACTGAGTAGACTTAATCAAGTACTCTACCAAAGTACGATTTTGAGGGTACAATGACTATTTTCATTGTATTCTACTTAACTTCTACTCTCCTACATTTAAAAGGGGAATGATGCAATTTTACTCCACGATATTTATCAGCTTTGGCTTCTTTTAACAATATGCATCTCTAAAAACTAAACTAGTGAACTAACTCTTATGTCACAAAAGAGTCAAATTTTTTAAAATATTTTACAAAAAGTCAATCCGAACTGTGTTTTTCTACAACAGTAAAATGCTACGTGATGCAACAATCTAGAAATGTCACAGTATAATTATACACACACTGTTTAAAGATTACTCTGAGAATAGGTTTGTACTTTTACTTCAGTAAGATTTTGAATGCAGGACTTTTACTCGTATTAAAGTACTTTGACAATAATGTATTGGTACCTTTACTCAAGTGAAGCATCTGAATACTTCTTCCACTGGTCTGATCTCCCTCAGTGTGCCTGGCTCCACTCAGTGGGGAGTCGGGGAGTCTGTGACAGAGCAGCTGGGAGAGCTGATCTCATTAGCGGCTGAAGGGAGGGCTGCTGAGCTGGGCATTCCTCTGGAAGGAGATGTCCAGTTTTCATTGAGTAAAATGAAGAAATAACCAGGACAACAAAGGAGCTCTTGGAAAAGAAAACAATCTTGGCTGAAGGGAAAAATAAAGTCTTTAAAAACATGAATAACCAAAAAAAAAAGGCAATTTAACTTCGAACTGCTGAAATTGCACAAGTCTATTTTTAACTTTTTGGCATGTATGCTATATTTGGACACATATAATGTCAGGAAAGAGGTAGAAGGGGGGGGAAAGAAGTGCAAATGTAAATCATGGCTCTGGAGTCAAACTCTCTTGGCCAGGGCTGAACACAGGCATCAATCACACCTCGAGAGCAGCCTTCTTATCCAGAGGATAAGGAGCTGCTACTATGTGCTGTGTGTGCGTCTGTCCCACAGTTGGGCTGTTAGAAGGCTTCCACTTGTCTGATTGGAATCTGCAATACGGATCAAAAGGGAAACGGGGCAGACAGGCTGATTGCGTAAAGATTGACTGTGGTTATGACGAAGGAGGCAAGGGGCACTACAGCCATCAGTGTACAGACACACACACTCACTCTATTTGCTGAATGTTATTAAACTGCCACTCAACCCATGTTCTTTGAGAGGTTTCAGTTTTCTCTTTGCCGAATTATAAAACTATATGCCAAACTCTGTCCACAGTACAAATAAACAAAAACGTTTTTTACATAAAAAAAAAAAAGAAATACTGAGGTTGAGAGTTCATTCTTGACCATACAAAATAATCTCATGTCATTTTTTCTTCTGTACATGTGTTTTGAATGATTACCTTGTGTTACACAGGTGAAGCATGTTTGTTTTTTTTGCTCTTTTTCTTTTAGCAAGCATGATTTTCACCAGCATGATGGAGTTTGTCAAGCTGTTGGGAATTTCATTGTAAATGTTTGTTCATATATTGGACAACTCATATATGTTGATTTAGCTTGAGTTTATATTGACAGTGTCATTTGATCCCAAAAACTACGTTTCTTTTTTACTTTTCTTTTGAAATTTGGATTCAATACCTCTAGGGTGATACAGCTTTACTGTGTCTGGTATGACCGGGTATCTTTGTGTGCTAATGTTGCTGACATTAGATAGATATTGATCTGGAACGGACATACTGAGCCACTTCAATGACTTTACGGGCTCCTTTCTACTATCTCATCCCAGTTACCCAAGGCTGATGTGTTTGAAGCCTCCAAATAAGGGAATAAGGAATATTACATTTCACGTTTTTTAGATGTTTGATGTTTAGAATCAAATTATTTGGATTTTCCCGAGAAATCTTTTTTTTATGACATTTCCTTCATTATAAAAGGGAATTAAATAAAAGGTAAATACCATTTTTTTTTTATATATATATTTATGTAAACTTTAGAAGTTGAATGAAGAATGTGCAATAAAAGGATAAATTAAATATATGAAATACATACATTTATATAAACATAAGAGGTTAAAGAAAGAATGTGCAATAAAAAGATAAAATAAACATAATTAAATGTCTTAAAGATAAAATAAAACAAGATAGAAAACAATATTTATATAAACATAAGTTAGAATGTTAAATAAAAATGATAAAATAAGTTGAGTAAAGATATTTACAGTGGTGTTTTAGTATTATAAAAATGCTGAATGGCACAGTTTAAAAGGGCTTTGCATAGTTTGAAAGTTTACTGCCTCAAACGTGTCAAAATCTAAGTGCCTAAATTGCTCAGAAACTTTAACATAAATGTTTCTACAATTCCATAACAACTGGAAAAACTTGTTTTAGTAGGCATGGGACAATAAGCAGAGTGTTCCCATGATGGACACTTTTCATCAAGAGCTCCACCTTTTTCACAAGTTATTAAGTCCTCTTAAGTCTCCTTGTTTCCTTTGGACTTGTTGCAAAATGTCTTTGGCAAATGACCTTACAGTGCCAGTGAAGCTGCTGAATGGAACTGAAATGGAGGGAGGGAGAAAGATTCAAATACGCATACGGGGGGAGAGAGGCTGGGGGGGGGGGCGGGGGATGGAGAGAGAGCGGGCATGACTGCTCTTGGAGCTCTGACAAGAAACTTTCCTGTTGTTGCTCCCCTCTCTGCAGAGCAGTCAGACTCCTCTCTTCAGCGCAGACAGTTTACCATGTGAAATGCACTTGCCTGGACTCTATGCGGGAGTTTTAAAGTCATGGCTCTCCATCTCCATTTACGCACGGCGCGTCACTGAAGATACTACGCACTTACAGTGAGACTTTTACAGGATACATTTAGGAATAAATTGACATTTCTTTGCGTTTATGCCATGAGGATGGAGACGGTTCTGTTTTACCTGCTTGCCTTCACATTGGCCCGGGTTAGCAGTCTTGGATATTCGGAGTCCAGCGTTCAGACGGGACAGAGAGCGGCCAGCAGACACAGGTATGATCAACATGAAGGGAAACACACGTGTGTGCATGTTTGTGGTTAGTTGTGTTTGCACTGGAAAAACCCCGAAGGCTGCAGTTCAAAACCTTCATTGGAAACGTGTTTGTTTAAGATTATGATCTCGGTGAGGTTCCCCTTAACTGTGGTTGGTTCCACTAGTGAAACACGTTGACTTATAGGGGTCCTTAGGGGCTTCCAGTGGGACCTTGCTAACAAAAAGTGAAATGTTTAAGGGCTGAAAATGATTGTAGATTGACAAATGTGAGAATTTAGTGTTTTTACTAAATGTTTTACAGTTATGTTAAATGGAATATTTCGGTTTTATCTGAGAGAGAAACAATTATTGAGTAATCCACAAAAATAATCAACAAATAATTGATGATATAGATAATATTAAGATGACAAGGTTAGATAAGTACGGAAGACTTAGTGCTAACAAACTCTTAAAAATCTTTAAAGAAAATAATAATAATAATTTTCAAATACTGAAAAAGAAAAACGCAGCACTAACCAAACACTCATATAGGGCAACATGTGACAAAATGATCTCAATATTCAGGAAAATGTCCTTTGGGAATATCATTTTCTGAGACCATAGTGTGAAAATATGGTCCCTTGCAGAAGTGCACATGCTGTACATTTTTATTTTCAGAGGAAACATCTTATCGGTGATTAGGCCTCTTACACTAGGGGGCCCTCCTTGAATGGGAGGTGATGGGTGGGTTGGGGTTGTGTGATGATGCAAGGGGGGCCCCAGAGCTGGACATGGTTTATAGGGATTATAGATGTTTACTGTTTCAGGGACCCAAGTGAAAGGTTTTCAGGGGGGCCCAGAGTATCTCGAAGCGCCCCCAGCTTCTTGTTGGAGGGGAATTCATCATGTTGGCAAACAGCATGTTGCAGTCAAGTGAGGGTGAATGGGCTCTACAGGGAGTGACAAATTGAGGGGAAACTGAACTGTTGACTGAATTAATCCAGAAAGTGTACATCTTGGAATTCTAAATTCAGATGCAGGACTCCCAAAATGCCCATTTTGCAGTTCTTTATGGGACAGTAACAAAATCATTACGTTTTTAGAGACAGTTGATTGATTGTCGCTTGTAAATCACTGATGACTGTTGGGGTCCCTGCACATAAAGCTGTTAATACTGTCAGTGAGCCATCACACGTATGTTTTTATTGTGCTGTTGCTGCCCCATAGTGTGTTATTAGCATGTAATTGAGCTTCTGCCTGAGGGCCCCATGTGCACGACCCCTTCACCTCTGTGGACTGTGTGTGTGTTTGAGACTTGTTTTTGTTTTTATAATTGAATGAATACGGTAGTTTTGCTAAATTAAATGGCTGAAAATGTAGCTGTGTGTAAATGAATAAAAGGTTGAACGAGTGAATGACAGAGTCCATCTCTCACATGTGGTATGTGTCTGCCTGCATGCCTCCATGTGTTTGTACTTAGCGTGTGTGTGTGTGTGTGTGTCTGTGTGTGTGTGTGTGTGTGTGTGTGTGTGTGTGTGTGTGTGTGTGTGTGTGTGTGTGTGTGTGTGTGTGTGTATGTGTGTGTGTGTGTGGTGTGTGTGTGTTGTGTGTGTGTGTGTGTGTGTATGTGTGTGTGTGTGTGTGGGAGTTGAGCTGCTGCAAAATGAGCTTCTATCAAGATTGTCTCTACATCATAGCAAAGTGTACTGCTGCTGCAGTGGCTGACTGAGTGATGAGACATGGCTGGCTGGCTTCTTATGTGTATGATGAAGCTAAACTGTTAACTACTGTGGATTATGGAAAGTGGGGCAAAAATAACGGTAGGACTAAGCCCTAATTGATTTAGGAAGTGGAAATAAGTGATAAAATGCCAAGAAAATTAGAGAAAAAGATAACTTATCTTAGGTGAGATAGGAACAGAAGAGTATTGCCAGACTCAAGAGAGAAAAATGACAGGATGAGTATTGGTTGGTTGTTTTGGATTTTGAAAATGAAGTTGAAAGTGCTAAGAATGAATTCAAAATGTTGAGAATAAAGTTGAAATGTTGAGAATAAAATGTATATATCGTTTTAACGATATATCGGAAATGTTGAAAATAATAGAGTTAATATAGGGCACAAGGCATAACACACGGCAAAAGATTCAGAAAAATATATAGAGAAATAATTGATGAGTAAATGGAAAAAAAGTGATAAAAAGTCAAGAGAATGATAGGTGAATAAAGGGAAAAATAACATCATCTGATTGAGAGAAGGTCAGATAAGTAGGGAAGACTATGAGTGCCAGGTATATGAGAATAAGTAATACTTGGCAATCAAGTTGAAAAGTTGAGAATGAAGTTCAATGTTAACACAAAAGTTATAATACCATTTTGAGAATTGGGATAAAATCGAATTGTTATGCCCAGAATAACGTTTAATATATGAAAATTAGGGCTGTCAGTCGATTAAAATATTTAATCGCGATTAATCGCATGATTGTCCATAGTTAATCGCGATTAATCGCAAATTAATCGCACATTTTTTATCTGTTCTAAATGTACCTTAGAGGGATATTTTTCAAGTTTTTAATACTCTTATCAACATATGAGTGGACAAATATGCTTTATATGTTTGTTTATTATCATTTGAACAATGACAAATATTCTCATGAATATTAAACACAACAACCTCTGAACATTACAAATATTCGCCTTAATTCAACCTGGAACCTCTCTCATACAATAATACTGTGTGTGTGTGTGTGTGTGTGTGTGTGTGTGTGTGTGTGTGTGTGTGTGTGTGTGTGTGTGTGTGTGTGTGTGTGTGTGTGTGTGTGTGTGTGAGAATGTGGAGACACTGTGTGATGGATCGTTGGAGCTATGTGCCGCTCAAGGCATATATGCTCGAACGTGTGCTGCCTGGACGCTGCAATCATGTACCGCGTACTATCCGTGCTGAGTGCGCTGACTTTTCGTACAATGTCCCACTGTCTGGCTACCTGCATAAAGTCAAGTGCTCGGCGCAGTTGTCGGCGAAATGTCATTGAAACAGCTCCTTATATCCGTTAGCGCAGCTAGCTAGCACCAGATGCTAACAACAACAACACGTAAGGTGTGCCTCGCTCGCGCGAGTCGCGCCACACATACACACTCCCTCCCGGTCCTCCCGATGGCCAGTCCGGGCCTGCCGGTGAGCGTGGAAGTGTGGTCTGCCACAAGCGGGCGGCAGGAGCGAGGCTGTCAGCATCATCATGTAGATGGTATTTTAAACTCGATGCGCTCTGAAACTACGGGGCGGCCGAGGACAAAAAATACACATGCGTTAATCGCGTTAAAATAATTAGTGGCGTTAATTTTTTTAACGCGTTAACTTGACAGCCCTAATGAAAATAAATCAAACACAGAATATTCTTTAAGATCGACTTTTTTCTTGTATTTTTAATTTACTCACAAAATGTGAAATATAAATCTTCCTCCTCTTGTTTTTGTCCCTAATGCCTGGCCCTAAAACATGTAAAGATCAACAACAGGCCTGATAAGAGAAAAGAGTCAAAGAAACGGGAGAAGAGGGAGAACCCGAGCAGTCGTGACAGGAGAGGATGAAAGGGTGAGAAAAGGCAGGGAGGAGCATCACGACAGGAGAAAAGACAGAGTGACAGTCGAAGAGAATACTTGGTTGGGGTCCTTAAATGCCTTTCCCCTAGCTGAAACCAGTAGCCTATGAAGGAGTCAGCATGGCGGCGGGCCTGTGACGTACACACACTCATACAAACCACACACACAAAGTGACGCATCGAGGGGAAGAATGCACTGGCCCGTGGCGATGCGGTTTGCCCCTCTGACATCAGTTTGAACCCCATTGATCTGTTTTGACAGATGTGTGAAGTATTCCATATGTGATAAAGGCGGTTGAATGAACTGAATACATCCAGCAGGGGTCTGATGTGGAGCTCAGGAGGACCCTGAGCTGTGCGACACATCTTCTGCCAAACTGTCAGCAGTGCACACCAGCTGCAGACACTGACAGAGGAGTGATGTGTTTGAGGGCTGGATGCTTGGGGACTGCTAACATGTTTAGGCCTGTGTACAGTTTAAAGGACAATACATAACATTTAGCTGACACTTTTATCCAAAGCATATTACAATAAGTGCAAAGATACAAACTCGGTACAACAGAAAGAATGCACGTATATTTGCTTCAAAAGAGCCAAACCATTCTAAGTGAAGGTGCATTAGTTTCAAATGGGATAAATGATTGAAGTGTTTTTCCTTTTGAAGTGTGTGTTGGGTTCAATGCCCAAAGTACAAGCCAAACAGGTGGGTTTTACAGTTAGTTTTCAAAGGAAGATCCTGCTGTCCTGATAACAATGGAGAGCACTTTCCACCATTTTGGAACCAGGATAGAAAAAATTAGGAAGGACCGGATTCCTTCAAAGCACATTAGGCCAGTACCAGTGGCGGCCAATACAGTAGATTACTACTGGAGAGTATTCTTCTTCAGCATCTTTCTGTCTTCTATCCATTTCCCCCCATGTTTTTCTTTACATTGGCATTGGGGAGCTCCATGCAGGGTCCATTTGCACATACTCTTATTCACTCACTGGAGTTCTGTTGTTTTAGGTAGGCTGTTTTTATGGCATTCTGAGAAGTGGAGTGTAACAAGAAAAACAGGAGAACCAATGAGCCACAATTTGAGCTATGGCTTAGTTCCATGAACGATAAATGCTACACATAAACTTTTTCTAAGAAGTGGACGTAGCTACCTTTTCGTAACCCTTTGGACTACCGGTTTGTAGCCTTGGGTTTGACACTTTTGCTTACGCCATGTTGTTTTTGGCCATCACCTTCATGTTTCTTTAGAACCAGAAGTAACAACGACAGGGTGGATCTATAGTCAGTACAATCGAACTTCGAAAGAAAATATTTTAGGTGACCAACATCTTACCTTTCATAATCCACTGTAAAGGCGTAGAAGCTAAAAATATATCAAAGTGTTATTTAAAGGATCAAAGGGATAAAATACATCGCATTTTCCATTC